TTACAAAAAACAAAAAAACGAGCACACAGTCCACCTGATGGTAAGTGGTTGCTGTGGCCCATAGACATCTATATCTATCCTCGATTACGAATGCAGAATACTAATATAACCAATACTAATAATACTAATATAACTGCAGTATGGCTATACCAAATCTCTCTTATTATTATTCTATTATTTATTTATGTAATAGTTATAAATTTTGAACAAAACCCTATCATTTGTATTTACACGTGGAACGCGAACTTTGATTTAAACCTTGGACCTACTGTGCCTAAGTATTGAGGTAACCATAGTTAAGGTTCGATGAAATCACGACATCTAACAAACTAAGATTGATTAATAACTAATATTGCCAGTGGGTATAATACAAAAATATATACTGAAACTAAAAGTCTAAATGAGCGGGCTACTTTTAACGGTGAATTCTCGTTCTCTCATTCTTTGAAGGTGAACAAGTGACATCAGAAAAATTCGAAATGCTCAAGCAAGAGGTAGACCATATGAGACGTGCATCTCTTAATAATTTCTTGTCTGGTTCTAAAGTTAAGAAAAGAAGAGGTGCCTGTTTACAAAACAGTTTCGTGCTAGATAGTGGTCCCATCGGTCTTCAATATGAGCCGGAATATAGATCGCCGCTGCAATCAGCTGTTGAAAAGGTTTACGGCCTGCCGTCATTAATTGAACACTTGTCATTCAAAGCAAGTGCTCTGGATGTTTGCGTCTCTATCGATTGTATGGCAACTGATGAAACAGAGCATAGGGAAGCCATCACAAGGCAGGGAGAGGGGCCCCACGGCGAAAAGCGGTTCCGGAATACCGGCTTCCTCGGATGCATGCCCGAGCGATGACGTCCCGGCCCCCTACTATCATCACTCGACCGTCGCGTGAACCAAACATGAGCCTATCAAAACATAGTGCGCGAGTGTCGCGAGTTAATGTGTCAAACTCAAATGCTAATTGTAGACCAGTGGTAAGGGACAGTAACTCGGAGTGGCAGGTGGTCAGAAATAAATTGGCCAAGCGTTATAAACTGATCGGTCAAAGAGGTTGTGCTATGACTGAGCCTGACGGTAAATTCAGAGCGGCTGATATAAAAGTGCCTCTCCATCTTTTAATTTCGAACGTCAGTAAGGATACAAATGAAGATGTACATTATTAGTTATATAAGGGATAAAACAAGTGAAATTGTATCAAGTTGTAAAAACGATAAATATGAAAAATGTTTAAAAGTATAATGCTTATAAGTTATATGTTTATAAAAGTAAATTAAATGTATTTCTTGATGATAACTTTTGGTCTAATGGTGTCACTTTTAGGCGTTATGTACAAAACGAAGTCAGAAAACTTAGTTCAAGTTACCTAATAATAAACAATTTTTGATATCTTTAGGCCCTAAGTGTGATCTTAAATTTGTTAGTTTCAATTGTAAATCGGCTAAACGTTTGTTAGAAGACATCCGTGATATTTGTGAAGTTTCTGGTTTAGTAGCTCTTCAAGAAACGTGGCTGCTGCCCCATGATATACCAATGTTAGGAACTATATCTAAATATTTTGAATGTAGCGGTAAGTCTGCTGTAGATACGACTGCGGGTTTATTAGTTGAGAGACCTTACGAGGGAGTAGCTATTTTATGGAAGAAGATTATTTTTGATAAGTTTATAATCTTAGAATGTAAAAGTACCCGGCTGGCTGTAATCCGGGCTACATTAGGCGATCGCTCCTTTATTGTTTTTACGGTTTATATACCAACAGACTCTTTAGATAACTTGCCAATTTTCGCTGAGGTGTTAGGTGAAATAAGAGCAATTGTAGCGAGAGGAAATGTTGAAAGTATATTTGTTTTAGGTGATTTTAATGCTCATGCTAATGAGCTGTTCTTTAAAGAACTAAACAATTTCTGTTCTGATCAGTCATGAGTTTGTGCCGACGTAAAAAAGCTAGGATTGTAGTCTGACACTTAGACGTTTGTGAGTGAGGTCCACGGATGCAGACGGTGGCTTGATCACTTCGTTGTGTCAATGTCGGCTGCGCAATCCGTTGTTAATGTGAGTGTCATAGCGGATGTTTTTGTGTCAGACCATTTACGGCTACTTACTGAATGCAATTTAAATGTAGTAAGGCCCAAAGTGGTGTTGCCAAGCATACCACGTAGCCCGGTTATAAGGGGTGAGAGAAGTGAATCTCAAATAGATAATTACCGTGACTTATGTAACAAAAGGCTTCGGAACATAGATTTCCCCATGGGAGTTTACAGAGGGCAGTCATGGTTCATGTAATCTGAATGAGCATAAAGCTGTGTTGGACAGATTGTATGAAAATATTGTACAAATATTGTGTAGCGCGGCAGGGGACTTTTGGGGAGTGCTGCTGTAAATATGATCAGAACAAACATCTACGTGGCTGGAACAAGCATGTTCGTGGAGCTCATGCGGAGGTCAGGCTTAAGTTCAAAGTTTGGATTCTGTATACTCGACCTACCTCGGGCATTTTTTACGAAGAAATGTACGAGACGAGTAAGATTTTTAAAAGTCGCCTGAAATGGTGCCGAATAATCAGGAACATAGATCAGCTAAAAAAATTTCATAAATTTTGGCAAGCTACAGGTAAACAAGAGGTTAGGCCAGGTTTCCCAGTGAGTGTGGGCGGAATTAATGACCCTACTGATATAGCCAACATGCTTAGAGATCATTTCACGGTGCGCTCGCCACTTGGCTCCTCGACCGCGTCTAGTAATTCTATGCCCGGTTGCTTAGGGGGTGGACCGCCGGTACATATCACTGCAAAGCAAATTAGGCACATATTAAAGAAGATGACTGGTGGAAAATCTCCAGGGCACGACGGACTCAGTGTTGAACACCTGAGACATGCGGGGGTTCACTTACCGAGGGTACCGTCTATGTTTTTTACACTGTGCATAAGTCATTCACACTTGCCACATGACCTAATGAAAACCATAGTGTTGCCTATTGAGAAGAACAGGACGGCAGATGTTTCGGACATGGGGAACTACCACCCCATCTCACTATTAACAACCATTGCTAAGGTACTCGATGGTCTGCACGACTCTTGCTTGCAAAATCTTTTAAATGTACACGACGCCCAGTTCGGATTTCGTCCCGGACAATCCACAGAAAGCGCCATCGTAATTGTGAAGCATACCGTCCGTTACTACACTGATCGCGGTACCCCGGTGTATGCCTGTTTCTTCGATTTCTCTAAGGTTTTTGACCTTGTGTCATATGACTTGCTTTGGAGGAAGCTTGGTGATAACGGTGTACCGGTTGGAGTTCTGAATATATTAAAGTATTGGTATGCCAATCAGACCAACCTTGTGATATGGACAGACTCTCTTTCGGAATCGTATGTGTTGGAGTGCGGGGTGAGACAGGGGGTATTGACGTCTCCCAGGCTCTTCAACGTATATGTAATCGATCTCATCGTGAAGCTGAGTAGCATGCATGTTGGGTGTTGGATTGATGCCATCGGTATAAACAGCATAAGCTACGCAGACGATATGGTCTTGCTTAGCCCCACGGTGGGTGGTCTGAGGGAGATGCTGAATGTCTGTGAGACGTATGTTGTTGTACTCGGTCTTACATACAATGTGAAAAAGATGGAATATATGGTCTTTGAGGCTGCTGGTAAATGTCCCAATAATACAACAAATATCACCCTTAATGGCGTGAACATCATACGTGTGACCGAATTTAAATATCTGGGGCATGAAATCACTGGCAGCCTCAAAGACGATGATGATATTGAAAGGGAGCGAAGGCTCTAGCGGTTAGAGGTAACATGTTGACTCGCAGATTTTCTCGCTGTACAGAAGAGGTTAAAGTGACGCTATTTAAAGCATACTGCCAAAGCATGTACACGGGAAATCTGTGGGTCAAACATACCAAGAAATCGCTAGACACTCTTCGAATCCAGTATCACAATGTCTTCAGGATGATGTTGGGCCTGCCGCGTTTTTGCAGTGCATCAGGAATGTTTGCGGAATACCAAACAGATGGCTTCGATGCTATCATTCGTAAAAAACGAGCTCCCTGATTAGCAGAGTAAGGAACAGTTCCAATAGCATCCTGAAGACATTAGCAAACCGATTTACTTCACCAATCTGAAAATACTTTGTGCGAAGAGTGACGATCACCTGAACATACCCTTTCCCCTGATGGTCACTCTTAGTAACAAATATAATTGTAGGTAATTAATTAATTATTATTATTGTAACAAGTATAATTTTTAATCCTAATTAATAAAATATAGTTTTAAGCCATTTTTTAACACTATATGGATGTACAAGTTGTTCGAAATAAATGATTTATTATTTATAATTAGCACATACATATACACATATTATTATAAATTAGCACATACACCTGAGATACAGGTTTATCCTAGTTCAGGTGCCTGTTATTGTAGACTATTTTTAAGTTAAGACTTATTGGAATAATTTGTAGAGTTTATCAAAATAAAATAAATTATTAATTATTATTATTAAACAACAGACACTGAATTGACAAATAACCACCGTGATGCCTTGTCAGTGCGTCTGCGCTTTATATTGCGTGTACTGGGTTCATGTCCCATATTGCATTGGTTCTTCAAAATCTACTAATTTGCTACTTATTTAGTAGAAAGTAATTTAGTTTTAAGAAACCAATTAGTAGATAATATATAATTAATAATTAATTACTATTATTATTGTAATAGGCAAAAAATAGGCAATTTTTATTTAAAAAAAAATTAAATATCCAATATCTTGAAAACAGTTAAGTTTGTGGTATAGTGTTTCATAGTCGAAACAGTCGGTAATTATGCAAACTACAAACCCCCTAAAGGATCTATGTCGACTTAACCTGTAAGCCTGTACATTTACAGACGATCATTATCAGCGTAAAATTGGTATGAGAAGCTAATTTTTACAGCGAGTTTCTACGGTCGTATCACAAAAATAAAATTAGTGGTGCGCTCTAGGCCTATGAAAATGTATTTACCTTTTTAGTAAGAAATTGTTGCACAGTGGGCATCTTGTACTTTTCCATTTTGATTTTCATTCCAAAAAGTTAAAAAAATGTTGTGGTCGAGGTAAGCCACTATGTTACAAAAATTTTGGTATTTTTACGGAACAAATAATAGGTAATTAATAAGTATAGAGACACTGACAGAAAATTTATATAAATAATAGATAATACCAAAGAGGATATAACAATAGAGTTATCTTTAGACAATGTTCTGAGATCTATACTCCTACTGGGAATATCATATGTAGTGCCAGTAAAAACCAAAATCAGAGCAAAAAATAGTTAGTTACAGCCTATTTACGCCCCACTGCAGGGCACAAGCTTCATCTCATTTCTGAGAAGGTTTTAAGGCAAGGAAGTGAGGCAAGGTACTTCACATGCCTTCAAAATATGTTTTTTTGGGGTTCCTCACGAAGTTTTCCTCCACCGACGAGGACGTGGTAAATCAACACTTAAAAATGCAATTAACAATTTCATTCGGCGGGGATCAAACCCGGGTTGCTCGCGTACAGTAAAATTTAAAGCGAACGCTAACTACTGAACTATGGCTCTCAGCAAAAAATAAAATTCTTTACTAGCGATTCGCCTCGGTTTCACACGGATGTATTTTACCAAAAAGGTAAAATGTTGTCATTTTACGATACTATCAGAAACGCCAACATTTCTCAACTATCTTTACATACACAATTTAAAAAAAAAAACTTCCTTAAGAGACGCTTTTACATCGTGCAAATTGCAACAACATCCATATAGTCGTATTACTTAGTGCTATAAACAAATATGTACGACAGACGTAGATGTTTTACTCTTTAGTGATTGCTAACACCCTAAAACGAAAAAATTTACTATACGATCTGTTATTGCGTACATATAAATCATTATGCCATTGCTAGATAACTTATTATACACATTCACAGGAACAACTACAGGCATAATTGCGATTGCCAGACAACCTCAAATGTCGGTCATCTCGTGAGCCAGGTCCAGATCCTGTAAGCCAAGACATGCGCACTTTTGATCGTACAATACCTACCTTACGTCCGCCAAGCAGTGATCTAATTTGATCAGAATTATGTAAACATGTGTACCTATGAAAAAACTATTTTTTCGTTTTAAACAAAACCAAAGACACTATGCAATAGATAATAGTATCAAAGACAAAGATATGCTCTTTTATTTTAAACCATAACCTGGCAATGTTTCTTAGAAAAAAAAAAAGAAATCACTCTGAACCCCGTCAGGGTAAATGTGTTCTGTGCTCTGAACTTTCGGCGTTCCACGTGCCGTTTTGATGAAGGTGCTCCGTCTTTTTTTATAGAATTTTATATTTGTGTCTGGACTAAAAACAAAAGTATTATACTTTTTTATATTCCTTGTAATATAGTGAACACATATATATATAATTTGTGGTATAAAAAGTGAAAAGGTAAATTTTTTTTTTTCAAATCAAACATTTATTAATTCATAAGCATGGGTATTACAGGATGTCACATATAAAATTATTATAAGATACAGCCATGTTTCACCTTAGAGGTATATGAACAAAATTGAAGTATATTTTTACATTTTGTCATCAAAAAATATTCTTATGTCATAGTACACTTTTTCAACAAGGAAGCCATTGAGCGCAGTTTTAAATCTTTTGATATCATTAATTAATCGTATATTTAACGGGATTTTATTATAGATTTTTGGTGCCATGCAATTTACACACATTCTTCGAAGAAGTGGTTTGCATTTGTGATTAACTTTCAATGTTCCTTCACGACGACTTCCGGCAGTATTCATTTCAAAATAAATTGGGTTATTTCGAACAAAGTTTGCAACCTCATATATATACATACACGGTAGAGTCAGAATTTTATATTTGCGAAAGTACGGTTCACATGAATCATCCTGATTTAGACCGAACATCGATCTAACACACTTTTTTTGCGCTTTGAGGACACTTTGTTTTTCAGTTGTGTTGGCCCAAAATATTATTCCATACCTTAAGTTTGATGCAACATATCCGTGATAGGCTGTTAGAAGAGTTTTAACACTGGAAACCTTCCTTAGTTTATAAAGGGCATAAGAGAATTGGTTTAGTTTTTTAATTAGATTATTAATATGAGGTTTCCATGTCAGCTTATTATCTATAGTCAAACCCAAAAATTTTGTAGTGTCTACCTCTTTAATTGAATTCCCAGAGTAGTTAATGTCAAAATTTAAAGGATAATTATTTCTTTGTTTAAAGTTTATTACATGTGTTTTTGTCAAATTAATTGTTAGGTTATTTAATGTCAGCCATTTGAATAAAGATGTCAATGTATTATTAATGTCAATATTTATATTATTCTCATTATCATAAGTAAATAAAACAGTACTATCGTCAGCAAAAATAGTCATATGATGGTTGATTACATTAGGAAAATCATTTATATAGATAATAAAAAGGAGAGGGCTCAGTACACTTCCCTGTACTCCATAGTTTACTTGACGCTCTTTCGATCTGTATATTTTATTTTCACCGGTCTTAGAGTCAATTTTGGTTATATGTGTAATTTGTCTTCTATTACTTAAGTAACATTCGATTAGCTTAAGGGCGTTGCCTCTTATACCATACCTTTCTAGTTTGTTAAGTAATGTTTTATGATTAATGTTGTCAAATGCTTTGGTCATATCCATAAATAGTGCTAGTGTAGGCTTTCGGTTGTTAACGTTTTTTACGACTCTTTCCAAAAACTCGTATATAGCCATACTAATGGATTTATCTTTTCGAAAGCCGTATTGATGCTTCGAAAATAGATTATTGGTTTCAAAGTAATCGTTTATTTTTTTATATATAATGTGTTCTATTAACTTTGAAAATATTGAAATTAGTGAAATAGGACGATAGTTTTTTAACAGCTTGTTGTCATCCTTTTTGAATATTGGGATAGTAATTGCCAATTTCAATATATCTGGAAATATTCCCTGTTCTAAACATAAATTTATAATGTAGCACAAGATGTGAGCTATTATATTCCCTACTGTTTTAATAATCTTAGTGGAAACATTGTCAAAACCTACACTATTAGTATTTTTTAATAAATTAATAGATTTAACAACATCTAAGGGTATTATTGGGGTCAAAAAAATTGAGTTACGTTGACTATGTGGAATAGAAGTAGGTTCGGGCTTGTCCTTATCGACTGTTTCCAATGAGTTTGTAAAAAAGTCGTTAAAGGCGTTCGCAATTTCTGTCGGTTCAGTTACCTCTTTATCGTTACTTAATATACTGTTAATCTGTTCCTTAGGAAGGCTGCTATTATACTTATTAATTATCTTCCACGTTGCTTGGGATTTATTTTTTGACTGAGCTATATAATAGTCATTCTGTGCCTTTTGAGTAAGATTAATTATTCTCTTGTACCTTCTACTATAGTTAGTAAATATTAATTTATTTGTTGGTGACGGAGATAGTCGATATTTCCACAGGAGCTTACAACGTTTTTTACTACATAATTTAATGCCCTTTGAAATCCATTTCGGTTTGTTCAAAATAGAGATTTTTTTTTTGATTTCTGGAAAACATAAGTTGTAAAAAAAGTGTGAAAAGGTCATGAAATGAGTTGAAAGCTTTATTTGGACAGCTTGTCTCATATGCTTCACCGAAACTTAGACTTTTGATGCAGTTCATAAACTTCCTTATATTATCGAGAGAAAAATCTCGGTGGTAAGTATACCAGTATTTTAGCCGACATGTTTTTTTGATAGGTATCTTAAGGGTTTGAGCAGAGTGATCGGAAATTGTCAATTCTATGACTTCTCCTTTTGCACTACGAATATTATGTAACATATTATCTAAACATGTTTTACTGCGAGGTCTAGTGGGTTCATGAAATTGGCATTTTGTATTATATTTAGATAATAGCAAAAAAAAAATTGCCAAAAGTGCTTCAAAATCTGGAAGGCCCATTATGGCGGCTGGGTCATAAATGTGTTATTTTTCAAATTCTCATTTATTTTTAGTGTAAAATGTAAGTAAAAATAGTTTTCTTACATATTTCAAATAACTTGACGTTGTATTTATTTCAAATTCACACAAAACTATTTTAGAAATATTGTTCTAAATGTCACACAGATAAAATATTATTATTTTATTTTTTTTAATTTCTTTATATTTTAATATTTTGGTATGAGTAACGAATGGAAACACATAAAACATAAAAATATACATATTTCCAAACATTTTCATATAAATTTCTCTAAAAACAAAAGTGTAGAATTCAAATTAGTAGTAATTTTGTCACTAAAATTGAAGTATATACCACTATACAGCTATACAGGGTAATTTACGTATTTTATTACAATTTCTAGCAACCAAAAATAATTTTATTCGATAGTTTATACATTCAACAAGAATTCCTGTAAGTTTTATCCATAAATATTGTCTCAAAGTGAAAATATAGCAAAATTTGCAATATAGCAAAAAATTTGCTAATTTTCAAATTTTCCCGCCATTACGGTCCCGAGCGAACGGGAGTATAACATGTCGCGCGCTGTCAGAGCTTACAGGTGCTTCTTATCTGTTTCAACCTCCGCAAGGTTTTCGTCATACGGAATGGTAATGTCGACCAAAAATATTCCTGACTGTGTATAGCCACTACTCAAGCTCAAACTCATTTGCAAGAAAAGTCCTGTCTGATGATGGCCCGGTGCCAGTAGAGCCTGGCGCTGTCATTCTTTGCAACTGCTAAGCGCTGCAAAAAGTGCAGCCCCTCTGCCCTAGCCTACTACTTAGATGTCTTTGGCCCCAGCGTAACAAAGCTTAGGTAACCATGCTCGACTCCGTCATTACGGTTCGCAAGGTGCCTATGCTGTTACAGCACGAGGGGGGCTGCTTTCTCTCCTGTCCTGTGTATTTTAGTATTTCTATGTTAAGATTTCGTCAAAACGCGGAGACATAGTTATATTAACAAAACCCAATACATCAACTCAGTCAGAAATTAAAAGGACAAAATCCCGGAAAATATATAAGGTCCCTCTATTATCAAGTT